TTTTTTGGGTTTTGGGAGGTTTTTTGCGTTTTTTTGTTGTTTTGGAGTTTTTTTGTTTGTTTTTTTGTTTGGGTTTTTTTTTTTGTTTGGTTTTTGTGGTTTTTGGGGGTTTTTTGGTTTTGGGGGTTTTTTGTTTGTTTTTTGTTTTTTTGGGTTTTTTTTTGTTTTTTGGGGTTTTTGGGTTTTTTTGTTTTTTTTGTTTCTTTGGGTTTTTTTGTTTTTTGGGTTTTTGTTTTTTCGTGTTTTTTGGGGTTTTTTGGTTTTTTTGGGTTTTTGGTTTTTTTTTTGTTTTTGGGTTCTTTTGTTTTTTGGGTTTTTTTGTTTTTTCTTTTTTGTTTTTTTTTTTGTTTGTTTGTTTTTTGGTTCTTTTTTGTTTTTTGGGTTCTTTTGCTTCTTTAGGGGTTTTTTGTTTTTTTGGGGGGTTTTTTTGGTTTTTTTTTTGTTTGTTTTTGGTTTTCGGGTTTTTTTTTGTTTGTTTGTTTTTTGGGTTTTGTTTTGTTTTGTTTTGTTTTTGGTTTTGTTTTTTTTCTTTTGATGTAGGACTTCTTCCACGTAGTAAAAGCTGCGTGTTAGGATGTGAAACCTGCCTGGTGGAGCAGGGGAAGGGGAGCTCAGGCTTTAGTTCTGTCTTGTGGCTCCTGGGATTTTTAGGCTGGGTCCTCCCTGCTGCTCTCTGGGCTGAATTAACTCTTGTGTTCCCAGCAGAAAAGCTGGGGCTGTGTCCACCCACCTTTCATGGCAAAAATCCAGCCTGGCATTTGGATAATGAGTGATTGTCCCAAAAAAAACCCCAAAAAAACCCTGGAGCGTGTGGGGATTGTGTGTGGGAATCCCTGGGTGTGACAGGGACCTGCAGGGACCACACCTGAGGGGAATTTGGGAATGTTCACCTGGAGAAGGGAAAGGATCCAGGGGAGAGCTCAGAGCACCTGGAGGGGCTCCAGGAGAGCTGGAGAGGGGCTGGGGACAAAAGGGATGGAGGGACAGGACACAGGGAATGGCTTCAGACTGGGAAAAAAGGGGGATTTAAATGGGATTTTGGGATGGAATGCGGGTGGGGAGGGGCTGGGATGGAATTCCCAGAGGAGCTGGGGCTGCCCCTGGATCCCTGGAAATGTCCCAGGCCAGGTTGGGATAATCTGGGACAGTGGGAGGGGTCCCTGCCCATCCAGGGGTGGCTCTGATTTTGGGATTTAAATCCCAACCCAAACCATTCCAGGATTCACGTTCACGTTCAGCTTTATCCCGATTTTTCTGTTAGAATGTGAATGGAATTTTTACTTCTGGGGGATTTTAAATTCAGGGCTCTTCGAGGTGTCCGAGCCACACACCCAGCTCAGAGTCAGCTTTAAAATCCCGATTTTACAGGAATGTGTAAAAAAAAAAAACTCACAGGAGGGAGAGGAAAGTGGCTGCAGACAGATTTGAGGAGCAGAAATTCAGCCAAATTCCCATGGAAATCGTGGATTCAGTGGGAGCAAAGCCTGCCCTGCAGCACAGGAAGATCCTGCAGGGATTCACATGCCCAGCTCCTGCTGGGATATTTATAATCACAATATTGTGAGGAAAGCTCCCATTTGAGAGGGAATTTCCGGTGGTGAAACCTCCAGGCTGTGCTGGAGCCTGGCCAGGACCCAGAGCACCTCATCCCAGCTGCCCTGGGAGGCATCCCATGGGAATTTCCTGCCAGAAAAAGCTCTGGGTTGTCTTTATTTATTTCCTTTCCAATCCAGAGCTCCTCAAACATAAACCTTAGGAAGTCTCAGGAGTTGTCCTCTGAAAATATTTGGGTGATTTTTTTTTTCTTTTTTTTTTTTTTTTTTTTTTTTTTTTTTTAGGGATACATAAATATGGGAATTTAGTGTCTGGGAAGAATTTCACTGCTGTATTTAGGATGTGATCTGTTCTTAAATCAATATTTTAAATAAA